TACTGTTGCTCAGTCTGGCAGCCGCAGTGAGCGACAGTTTAGACTTTAGCGTTTGTTGAGAGGGACTTCAGACAACACAAGAGTTTTGAAATTAAATTGTAGAATGGGTTTTTGTAGTACGTATTGTTTGTAAAAACATCATAATTGAAACACCTTCTGAAGCACATCTCTGCAGAAGGTCATGGATCTAAAATGAAGAATCTGGCTGGTTTGATTATGTGCGCTAAACCGTATCGACCTTTGTGTGTTATTTAATCAGTCCCATTAAAATAGAAGGCCTACAGTAAAAGGCCTTGAGTCAAATGATTCCCATTATAATTATACCAGTGGAACTGCTATAACAGTACGTTCTTTTTGTATATTTTTTCCACCAGAATGAACCATGCTGAGTCATTTATACAGCTTTTTGGAGAAATTCTAAGAGAGAAAATTGCTTTTGCTCTATATAACTCGCATTACTTCAATCTCTACTCCAACCAGACTCACCCACCTTTAAACGAGTCAGAACTTCAACTTAAACCATCACGTATGACCAAAGGATGATTAAGGAGCTAGATATGGGCTTGATGCAAGTACAGGAAAATCGGTTGAGCTCAGATACTGTAGGCACACAAAAGGTTAAAGCTTTAAACTACATTGTGCTTCTTTACTGTCTTTGACACTTAAGTGATTCTGGATGAAGGGTACATGACAAAGGAACCTGATTAAAATTGCACGAGACATCTTTTTGTTCTGGTGTCCACAATTGATGACAAGTAGGGAAAAGCACATGGAGCACTTGAGTTTGGGTAAAAAGCCAAACGATCAGAAAACAATGTCATGTAAAGAAAAAAGTTCAAAGATGGGTTACATAGATTGAGGCTCTACTGCTGTTAGTTAATGTAAGGTACACTGACAACAGAATTCCATTGCATTATTCAGTCATGCCTGTCATCTCTGCTCAGCTCAGTCTCAGCCTGCAGAGTTGCCGTGATCGGCAACTGTAGCTTCACAAGTAGTTTAAGCACACATTTGCTTTGGCTTCTATGTATAACTCTTTTTTCATTGCGGGTGACCACACGACCCCCGCACCACTCTGTGTCTTCTTGAGTGATGTTCTCTCGCTGACAGGCTGATTTAAATAATGAATGAAGTTCTGCAGCAGAGTAGTCATGTCTCCGCCCCCTCAAAAATTGACCTCTCGCTTTTTCAAATGTCAGTGTCCACAGCCTCAAACCCTGTTTCACCAACGTGTGTGGACTATAATGAAAGCCAGATAAGGCGTTGTAATAAAAACAAAGCACGGGATTTGTAAGTCTGTCAAGCGGAGATACCGTGTGTCTTCTACCGTGTTGGCCCAGCTGGCTCGCGTGATAAGCTGATGTTAGCGTACTAGATTACTTTCCTCCATGGAAACTGCAGGGAGATAATGGGGCTACAATAGTGGTACTCTTTTTAAAATGCTCCTCAACTAGTAAAGGAGATAAATGTGTGAACTGTGATGATCGATAATTCATTCTTTATTTATACTAACTCAAAGCCACACAAAAGGAAAATAAAATCAAAAAGAGGAGCTGAAAGATATTTAGATATCTGTAAAGTGAAGCTGTTGAGTCAGGAAATATCTCCGGATTTACCATCTGAAGGGACATCTTTCACATAAACTAAGCAATTGGATCCATGTTAATAAAATACTGATAATTTTTCCTTTACGAGTATGACAGTTCTTTTTTAATAGAAAAGGGCTAATTTAACATTTACATGTTAAGAGTCAGATTGCTATTTTAATGTGAAAACTTCATCACTCTGTATTTGGTGATTTCCATTTTACAACCTTGAATGGAGAATTTTACAACCTTAAATTGTGCATGACTGTCTTCTCGTGCTTGGTGGTCCGACTCTGAGGTGTAATCTGCTCAGGGATGATTTCACCTCCTACAATCACAGTCTGTGAACCACCCAGGGGGAATTATACAATATAAAGCCAGTCTTTGCGTTTGGTCACTTGTGCAGTCGCACAGTTAGTCACATGCTAACGAGGTCCAGAGGGAGAAGATAAATATCTGGCTATTAACAGACCACAAGAACATCATGTCATAACGTGAAACAACATTCAGTAGTGGAGTTGTTAAATTGTTTTAAGTATGGGAGCTTGATGAAACTAAAGGTCCAGTTGTCAAACGCATATACAAATAGTCTCATGTGCACTGTGCAAGCTCTCATTACAACACAACTCTTTGAAGTCTCTGAGAAATTGTTTCAGCTTAGCAAATGAGATGCATGTGGAACAAACTCTCACCAACACACAAACAATTTAATCCTCCTCTGTGCAACTGGGCAGATTGTTTCTATCGATTGGCAGCCACCGGGGTGGGTAAGTACTTCCTTATAGGTGAATTTCTAATCATGTGTTTCCACAAATTGATCAAACAGCATCAAAAGCATGTTTTCAATCAATAACGCTAATGTCTCTCTCAGTGTAGCTTCTCGGGTGATACTGCACAATGAAGATCTTCATGATCATCATGACTTAAGCATTAGCAGAAATGGAACTGGGAAAACATGCTTTCCATATTAAAAGTATTCTATTTTTTTATGACTATTGTTTTTGTGATACAAGTCGTTGGTACCCCAGTGGATGTAGGCTGACTTCAAAAGATGGAAAAATAGTTCTCCATGAGACTTATTGAATATGAGGATATATGTATTATGTTTGTGCATTTAGATCAAGAATGTACAACGTCAGAGACTGCAGTCCTCATTGTGATTGAACGTAATCACCTCCCACTTTATAAACCTCTGAATTAGATGAATAACAAATATATATTCATGGATTTCTTTCCACTTTTAGAATTTGTACTGTAATTAGAGCGTTAATGCTGATTTGTTCATTTGGACTTGAATAATGAGGAGGGAGCGCAAGCTTAGGTGCAAGCGTTTCTGTCACAAAGCAACATTCCTTGAAACCAACTTGTGAAATACACTTGGGTGGATAGTTGGGTGGCACGCATGGCTGATTATAGCACAAACACAAAAACAAATACAGTAAGAGAACAGCTTTTTGGAAAGAACACAAGTTCACAGACGAAACTCTTAGCTCTGCTTCTTCAGAGCCCTGCTGAAAATAACAACAGAGACCTTAAAATCCCAGTGACGGCTGTGTCTCCTCGGGTCCCACCGCTGCGCTGGAGGGCAGCACGAGCACTCCGGCCTCAAAGAGAGCATTTAGCAGGCAGTGGTCTCCGGGAAGTCACATGTTTGAGTGGCTCTCTGCTGGCTGGTCACGGTGTGTGTGTGTGTGTGTGTGTGTGTGTGTGTCCCCCTACTCAACCCATCCATCCTTACATCGTAGCGTGTTTGCCGTCGACTCCCCCACATAGCAGCCCGAGTGCACGGAGTTCTCTTTGCAAACAGCCAAGTGCTTAGAGTGAAATAAATCAGGCATATCTGATGTGGCGAAAAAGGGCAGTTGACCGCCTCTGGTCATGGCTGTCTTTAGACTCACTGAGAAGTTTCATCCCAATTAGTTCAAACAGCCTCTGCCAAGCCGCAATAACCAAGTGTCAGTTTTTATAGCTCAGTATTCTGTTCTGGACCGAAGCTTTAGCGGCAGTAGGGAATGCTGCAAGGCTTTTAGGAGGCAAGTACTCTAATTCCCACGCGCACAAGTGTCAAAAGCCTTTTAAGTTAATGTCTGTAAAACTTAACAGGAACCTCAGAAGAACATGCTCATTTTCTCTTTGTAATTTATCTTTCTAAGCTAAGAGATGTTGCTTGCTTAAAACAAAACCATGGGGTTAAAAGAATCATAATATGATTGTAATTCATTCTGACTTGACAATAAAACATCTACTTTGATCTACAACTCTTTAAATAAATAGTAAGACCGTTGACTGTGCAAGTGCATCACTTTAGGCCAAAGTTCAAGCATGTCTAACAAAATGAGTCAAGAACGTTAGTTTTAAATATTTCATTCGATTACACGGTGCAAATTAAATCCTGATTGGTGCATCTCCTTTTCTCAACTGATCCCTTTTCAAAACTGAGAACGAACCAAGCGGAACAGACAGAAACCTCTTGTGAAAGAACCAAAACTGCTGTGATTAATGCAGAAAATGTTTGTGTTCATGTATATACGACTGCATCACTGTAGTGAACTGATTGAGAAAAACCTTAAAAGCTGCTGGCCTTTAAATACAGACAATTCATAATGGAATGATTTCCTGCAAGTTTCCCGTTGTCCTTGTTCCTAGTGACCAAAGGAGTCATAAGCGTACGCGGGTCTAAGTGGTCCAAGAGGTGTTTGAAATGTCTCTGATTGATGACTTCACCGGTATATCTTACATACAAAGAATACACTGGGAAAGTTGAATCTGAAAGTAAAAGCTTTTTTTATACACTCTCTCTGATAAATGGCCAATGGCCATTTGGGTGGTTATTTAACATTTTGACTGAACATTGACCCAGTCACATCTTTCAGGTCACTTAAAATGCTGTCAACATGAAACCATTGATCCACCAAAGTTAAGTATCTTTGTTCCTGGAGTGTGAGCTATGAGCCTGTTAAGGACCAGAAGGTATTGAATACTGGAAGTAAGGCAGGACTGGCTGATGAGGCTGAGAGGTTGTGAACGTTGAAAGCAAATACACGTGCACCTGAGATATGGACTAAACTAACTAACACTAAGTGCCCTTATTGTCTTCCCTTCTGGCGCTACAAATGAAAAACACACTTTCAATAAGTGCAAGGAAATAACGTGTGTTTCTCAGGAACAGCACACTGATTGAAACCAATTCCAATTCCCTGACAAAAAAAGGCTTTTAAGCGACTTTCCAGTAAAAAACAGCAACTCTTCTTGTCATTGATTTAATCAAAGTATCGGTTTTCAAAGTTGGACTCTTTCTTAACTACACACTGAAGTTTGCTTCAGCTGTGATGTTCCCCTCAGAGCACAACAACATGTATCCCTCATTCTCCCGCTCTCCAGGTTCTCTCACGGCGGCAGCGTGCGGGACGTTACCTTAGCAGCAAACGATGAGCTTGGTTTCTCCAAGAGATCCCAGAGCTTCTTCCTCTTTTCGGAACAACACGTGGTTGTAAACTCCTCTCCGACCCTCTCGCTCATATTCTCGGCCTCTCTCTTCAGCTCCTCGTTCATCTGCTCCTTTTTCTGGTGGTACCTGGCCTGGCAGCAGGACTCCAGGTAGATCTCATCAATGCCCCAGAAGTCCAGCTCTTGGCTGAACGAGAGGGCGCACATTTCCTCCATCATGTGCAGCTTTCCGGTGCGGTAGAAGTTCAGGATGGAGGTGAAAGCTCCGGGGTGTCTGTCGAAAAAGTACTCGCTGTCACCCAAGCTGTAGTCGTCGCATATCTGCATGATTGAGTCGTGGGTGTCGCAGTCCCTCAGTTTGCCCAGTCGCGTGCGGGGAAGGCGGTCCAGCGTCCTCCACAGGACTTCGTGGAGAAGGCCCCCGACGTTGAGCCTCACTCGGCGGATGTGGGTCTTCCGGCCGATGATGTCCGTGGAATCCGGCGGCAGCGAGGTGGCCGACTGAGACTCCGTTTTGATCATCTTCACTTACGTCACTCAAGTCTCTCAGTCACTTGAAAAGAATGGAAGATTAAACTCGTGCTGCAGGTGACCACATCAGCCCCCACCCCAGCCTGCTTGTTTCTTCATGTGGCTGTAACACAGGAACAAAACACAAAAAAAAAAAATTTGAAACTCTATTGAACAGCCAGTGCCGGTGTCCTATATGCAATGTCAGGTGGTTTATCCACTCGTCAGAGAATCAAATATATATTGTAATCAGCTTTGAGAGGCGCAGAGGAGGATGAGAGTCGGTGCGTGATTAACTGGACTCCCCGGTGAGCGCTGTCCGGTGCTGAAAGGCTGCCGGCAGACTGCGGTGCTGAAACAGCTCAGCTCGGTGCGGGACACTCAACCATCCATCCGGGTTCAGAGGCGCGCGATCGAGAACAACTCATGTGATTGTGTGGTTGTTGTTATTACTGTTCTCCACCACAAGATGGTCGGATATACTAACGCAGACGATCAACTTTGCACCACAATAAAACATTACATCAACCCGTGACACCGGGCTGATTTTAAGTGTAACTTTACAGTTCTTAAAGTTAGCTGGGAAAAAAATAGCATGGTAACCACATCAACGCGAGCATTTCACAGCTGTGTCAAACAACCTCATTTTTCGCAAACGTACATGTACGAAATAGAGATTTCTTTACAAAAATGAAAGTGAGTTGTAGCCTCAAACGATGACATTTGACAAGAGCACAATAAATTAACATGTACGCATACATGTCTCCGTTCATCCCAATTCACCTCGTGGATGGAAATCAGATACCTCGCTTGTGCAATCGCGGAAAAACTCCGCGCGTTTGTCCGGTGCTCTGCCCGGAGCTGGTGGAGGCATCACAAGCTACCCGGCGACATGTTGGGATATACAACCGTGCACCACCGTGTCCACTGCACCCCGTCCAGCCCCAACAAGTAGACTATCGTGAGTAACCGGGAATCCTCCTCTGCACCTCTCCTCCACCTCCACGCTGTGAGAGTGAGTGCTGGCCGGTGGATGTGAAGGAGATCCTACAGGGGGCCGATTGCACGCATGCTCCTCCAGTGGATGCTGCCTGTGCGAGTTTAACCCCCGCAGAGCCAGTGAGCCACAGCTCGTGCGTCCACGTGGTGTCTCAGAGCAGGGCCAGATTAACACTTCGCTGTACACTGGGCAAAAATATCCAAGGGCCCCATGATCATAAAAATACAGAATAATTTACAGTAATATGAAGTTAATATACTCAATAATTCAAAAATTGTCTGTCATCAAGTGTATTTGATGTACAGATGGGCAAATGCTCATAGAACAACAAATGCACTCACATATGATTTTATTTTAAAACAAAACTCATCAGCATCTGGCAAAATTGACCCACTACATAGAGAGGGAAGGAAGTTTAATCCATTTTCACAAAAAATAAACAAGCAACCACTTTCAAAGCATCCATATTTATTGAACAACACCTATTCTCAACACAAATGTATTGAACTGATAGAGCCATCACACAGGAAGTCCACAGACAAGACAAGGACAATCAAGTTATAGTGCAATATAAACATTTTGAAATCTGCCTGTTTTTTATCAACAAAAATAAACATTTTACAGAAATGCTACATAATGTGGCAATATACACAATTTTAATCCTAAATAATGGGAAAGTGCACGTTTACATTTGAAATGCTTGATTTCATTTAGAGGGCGGCACGGTGGTGTGGTGCGCAGCACTGTCGCCTCATAGCAAGAAGGTCCTGGGTTCGACTCCGCCGAGCGGCCTTTCTGAGTGGAGTCTGCATGTTCCCCGTGTCTGCGTGGGTTCTCTCTGGGTTCTCCGGCTTCCTCCCACAGTCCAAAGACGTGCTCTGGGGATCAGGTTGATTGGGGACTTTAAATTGCCCGTAGATGTGTGAATGGTTGTTTGTCTCTGTGTTAGCCCTGCCATTGCCGTCCAGCGTGTACGCGACCCCTGTGTGCAGGATAAGCGGGGGGATAATGGATGGATGGATTGATAGTGGTATTTGTCTGGACTTTGAATGTGCAAACTGGTGTGCAATATCTTCAAAATCAAGGGCACTAACAAGTTCATGTTCGATGGCCAAGAGAGAACGTGCAGAGAGCCGTGTCTGTGACATTGTGGTCCTCAGCTCATTCTTAACTCGTTTCAAAACAGAAAACGACCTCTCATCCTCACAGTTAGACACCGGCAAGGTTAAAAACATTCTTAGTGCAACATAAACATTTGGAAATGTTGTCTTAAGTCCATGTCTCTCAAGAGCTTGCAGAAGCTGTACAGGTGAAGTCTCAAGTGCTTGAACTGAATAAGTTTGTCTGAGAAGGAACTATCCAGATCTGTCAATGGTGACATAATATGTTTCAACCTTAAATCTCTTGACTACTATCAGTAAAAGCTACTTCACTGTCATCACCACACTCGTCTGCAAATGTCTTTCTTTTTCTCACACGTCGAGTGTCAAACTAGTAGTTTTGTGTGGCACTAACAGTGCGTGCGGCGTGCGGATTCTTCGAGCTCTGCAAACTATTCTCGTAGAGCGCCAACATATGAATGCAGTGAGTGTAACCCCTGTGAGATGTCTTCTGCTTTCTATGTTTGTCGTGCTGGAGCTGTTAACTTCTGCAAAATATAACGGACACAAAGGAAATTGTGGACCTTCTTTTAATCCTCCATTACACTCACACAAAATACGACAGTGATTGTATAGTTTTATAAGAACAGAACTTGACTACACAAGCAATACAATGAAACATATAACCAAAAATACATACAGGTTAATCAACTTAACATAACATACCTGTAAAATATAAAGGACACAAAGGAAATTGTGGCCCTAGAAGGACGACATAAAATGGATGTTAGCTAGCTAAAAAAAAACGGACATTGTTGTTACAGACAATAAAACATATCACCAACTTAATAAAAACATGGCAACTTTAAACAAAGACAAAGGACATTTAAAATAATAAAGCTAGCTTCACCATAAATGAAATGAGTAAACATTTTCCACGGACATAAACAAAACACGTTACCTTCTTTTAATCCTCCATTACACTGAGGATTACCCACAATCCGTCCTTTTTACGGTCCGTTTGTGTACCACTTTGTGGCAGTAGATGGCGTAGTTCAGCCAGTTTAGAAGGGTTTTAGCCATCCATTCTAACTATGTTACATGAGCGCAGAAAGCCAAGAGCAGTAGCTAAATCTATATCGCTTCTTTGGAGTTGGTCGCTTGTTGCCTTAAATCTATGCAGTACCCGGTCCCACAACATAGTCATTATTACTGTCTCAAGTCTTAATTTAACTTTTATTGTTTATATTTTCACATATTGAAAGTGTTTGTATTTTTTACTCATATATCCAGATATATATGACTTTTGAAGCTTAAAAAAAACGATTTCTCTTTCATGTCCACATTACCGATGATGCAACATAAGTAGTTCCTTGTTGCTTGGCAACGCCATTGACATCATAGAACGTGTCACTGTGTTCCGATGTGCTTTGTTGTTGGGTTCCATTTTGTCCCTCATAACTTCACTGGACTTCTTGAGAGCTGCACGCTTTCTGTTCTCAGTCCTGCATCCGTTCATAACCTTTGACCACTGACAATACAACGCTGTTTTCAAGTTTTATCGTGTACACAGAAGTATTTTACCCAACATTTAAATCAAACAGGAGAAATGGCTGAAGGATATACAACGAATCTGCCGGTTTCCAACCAGGGACCACCAGAGTCATCTGAACAGTTCAACGCAGAATATATGAGCCTGAGGGAGATCTGCGAAGTTCTTAGGTCTATGCGCATGAAAATTCACATGAGCGGAATAAAGGTTGCAGGATGGGAATGTTTGAAGGTTAAAAATGACAACTATGACCATCACAGGCAGGAGGAAGGCATTGCTAGGAGAAAATGTGAAACCCTTCAAAAAGAGGTGAAGAATCTCCTTGTTAAGGTCAAAAATCATCAACATTTTGACTCAATCTACAGAGACCAAAAAGCAGTAAACGAAGAAATGTCTTCTAAACATCAAAAGCTGGAAGAAGAGGTGGACTTGCAGCAGAAAAGGTTGGCGCACTTAAAACGTGTGGAGTCAAACGCTGCATCCATAACACAGGAGAATGAGGAGTACGACCAAAAAATTAAGCTCCTGGAGACCACACCGCAAAAGGTTACCAATGAATGTAACCTTTTATCTGAGGCCAGTGAACGAGACGCCCATCAGCTTGATATGAAGAAGACTTTGGTGAAGAACTTGGCCTCCAAAACAGCTTTGACTCACTTGGATTACAAACGTCTGCAATATAAGAATAAGGAACTGATTGCAGAGACACAGGAGTTAGAAATACAGGTTTCAGCTCTGGGGGATGAGAAAAGTGAAATAAACCTGAAACTCGTAAACCAACAACGTCAAATTGAGGACTCAATGCACCGTAAGGACGCTTTGGAGAGAACAACCAATGATTTAAAACAGCAAATCCAGGCCCTCAATGAAGCGCTCACGTCCAGAGAATCTTTGGCAGCGCAACAGAAATGCCAGGAGACTGTTCTGGAGGCGCAGCAGCGACAGTTGATTAAGGCCCACACGGAGGCCACCAGCAAGCTACTCAGTGAAAAAGACTGGAAGGCTGGCTATGACGCACAGAGGGAACTAAACGACGCCTTGGAGCTGAAGAACAATGAATGGAAAGAGAATATCCTCAGTGTAATGAACAGTCTCAAAGATCTTGACGCCTGTAAGGCAAACTACAAATCAATGAAGACAGATATAAAAGTTGCAACCAGACTGAATAAAACTCTCGAAAAGCAACACAAGACCCTGGGAAACAAGTTCTCAAAAGAGCAGAAGTATGAGGAAAAACACAACGCAATAAAGTCCGAGAGCGAAACCCTGATGGGTGAAAACTGCACTCTTCAGCGTCAGGTTGAGGAACTGCAGAGCACCCTTCAGGGAACGCATGTTTTGACTTGTATCTACAACTCCCTGGTATCGGTTAAAAACGCCAACAAGCTACTGAACGACGACCTTCTGAGAGAACTTCAACAGCTCCACGAAGAGGCCGCTAAAGAAGCACCTCTGAAAGAGCGCAACGAGGCAATAAGGGCAGAGAACGAGATCGATAACAGACAATTGGACGTTCTCGAGGAGCAAGTGTCCTCCGTCGCATGTAGAAAGGGTGCACCGGAAAAGGCCTTGGTGGTTTGAACCCTCGCCGGCCGGTCCCGAACAAGACACCTAACCACCCTTAGGCATCCCATTGAAGTAACAGCTATGGTTTTCTCCTGGGTTTTCCTTAAAAATGACCGTACATGGGTGTCTACTGTGCTGATGTAGCATAATTTGACACACATTCTCTTAATCGATTCACACATTTGTGACATTTGCAATGCACATTTGGGCAGTTGAGTTTTTTTCCTGCAGCAGGTGTTCACACCTGTACTTGGTCCTCTGCTGTGCTAATGTAAGGTCATTTTACATTCCATTTAGACATGGACGGTTTTCTCCCGGTGCTCCGGGTTTTCCTCAAAAATAATCTTTCTTAATCGATTAATACATTCGTTCCGCTATAAAAGTAGAGTCCATCACTTATCCGACAGTACGGTTACAGAACCAAGGCTGTGCGTAGAGGTAAGCGCCACAGCGAAAGCACTGTCTGAAATAATTACACTCCTGGCAAAAAGCGCCTAATTAGATTTGGACCGTAGCGTCCACACCCAACAAAATGTCACGCCAAGTTTTCTTAAAAACTCGACAGCCCCGATATGAAGATTGAAAGAATATTGAACTACGAGCGTGGCGCAGCGGCAAAAAACACTATTCGCCCCAAAAAATTTAAGTTGTTTTAACTAGGCCATACATTTTGTTATCTGCTCCATATGTTACCAGGGCCAGAGTAATACTTCTGATTGGACAGACGGACTGTCTGTCTGTCTTTCAACAGGAAATGACACAGGGTCTCAAGTGTCATGCACTCCCACCACGCATCCAATTCCTCACGCCAAGGAATCGGTCTACGGTGTCGGCCATAACGTCCGCGGTACCCCCCCACGT